ACGAAAACATGATCGTACATATACTCCTGCCGATTTATGTTTTGAGAGATTATTTGATACTTTGAATGTAGGGATTTGATTTGAAAACAAGGGTTTATTATCTTATGTTTTTTTGTGGAAATGTTTTATAAAAATGAAAAAATTTATGATGGTTTTTTAGGATGTTACAATATGAGAAATCGGTGACACAACTCCATGTGGTTTTAATGAAAATAGAATATTTTAAATTTGGAATTATATGATTGAGAAACGCACAACGTTTTCTCAAAATATCATCTTGGATTAAGTTGTAAAAACTAATAATAGTTTGATAAAATTACAAAAATGGTCCCTATGGTTTACCAAAATTCACAAAGTCAGTCCCTGCTAATTATTTTGATGCAAATGGTCCTTGTGGTTTACAAAACTTGCAAAGTTGGCCCTTTTTACTAACACCGTTAGTAAAACGCCGTTAGGGAATGAATCTGTAAGTGTATTTTCGTCTTTTCAAGTGTAAAAGGACTGAATTCGTGACATTTGATAAACCACAGGGACCATTTTTGAAATTACTTTGAAAAAGACAATTAAATTGCTATGGGGAGGGATCGAACTCGTGACTTCCACCCTTCTATTTTGCTCAACGATTTAACCACTTAAGCTAAAGGCTCACTTGGTTTTTACCTTCTAAAACTCATTTATATAATAATAAATCGATAAATCATAAACAATAAATAAATTAAAAAAAACATTTTTTTACATAATTCTTTTAATAAAATAAAATGTATTTTAGCGTATTATAAAAAAATACGTTTAGAAAAAGTATTTATTTTTATGTATTTATTTTACATAAAATGTTTTTTTAATAAAACATTTTTTACATATTTATTTTTATGTATTTATTTTACATAAAATGTTTTTTATGTCTTTAAAAAATATGTTTTCGTATAAAATGTTATTACGTTGTAATGAAAGGCAAAATCGGCCGAATTGGTTTTTTTTGGCCCAATCAGTTTTCTAAAAACCGTTTTTCGGTTAAAAAAAAAACTTAACAACAATTTTGTTATATGTATTTAAACAATTAATATTTTTTTTATGTCACAAGTAGTGTTAATTATTGTTATTTTAAAAAAATATATCTTTATTTCTTTTCATCGTCATTTTAACCATACGATTTAGAACTAGCGGTTAAGTTGAAATACGTATTTTAAATAAGACATATAATCGAATAGGTTTTATAAGTGTTTTTAAATACATATAACCGAAAAAAGATTTTTAGAAATACATAAAACAACATATTTTACGTAAAATAAATACATAAAAATACGTTTTATTTATTGTTTATGTTTTATCGATTTTATTATTGTCTATATGAGTTTTAAAAAAAATACATTTTGTTTTATTTAAAATGGTTTTTGTAATTTACTTATTTTTTTTATAATACGGAAGACACGTTTTATTTTATTTAAAAAAAATTATGTAAAAAAATGTTTTTTGTAATTTATTTATTGTTTATGTTTTATTAAAAAAACATTTTATGTAAAATAAAACACAAAACTTCAAAAATGGTCTCTGTGGTTTTCAAAAATCTGAAGTTTAGTCCCTAATTTATAAAAACCTCACAGATGGTCCTTGTGGTTTCAAAACTTTTAACAAGTGGTCTTTTTCGCTAACTCCGTTAGCTTTTGGCCGTAAGTGAAGGACATTTCTGTCATTTCACTACCACATTGACCATTTATGAAGTTTTGCCTTATTTAAAAAAATAAAAAAATATATAATTATTTAATATTAAAGGGTCCCCCCCCTCTCTCACATCTTCATTTTGTTCTCGTCCTCACATTGAAATGTAGAAAAGCCAGACCACCATTAAAATGTAGAAAAAAGGAACCCCAACAGTGTACACCCTTTTCTTTCCTTAATCTCTTTCTCCTCTTAACATATTAGTTAAAAACAAAAACTTTAATTCTCAAAAAAAGAAAGAATCGTCAGTATTACTGTCACATATATGAGATTCGTTTTTCCTTTTCTTTATTCACATCCCTATCTTCATCATCATCGTCTCCGACAGCCAAAAGGGCCAACCTCGTCTTCAACATCCACCATAGCCTCGTCTTCAAATCCACCAAACCCAAATCCAAAGCAACCATCGATTCTAAAATCAAAACCAAAGTCAAAATACAAAGCCAAACAGGAGGAATTGACCACTTGTTTATGAAATAGAAATCTAAATCAAATGCGGGATTTCTAAAACAGTCATCGATCTCTATAACATATCGATTTCATAAAATGATTTTTGATTTCAATACCTTGATTAATGTCATCAATGATGGTGGTCACTCTGATTCACAGTGGGTTGATGGTGATCTTCATCATTCAGGGACTTTTCTCGATGGAGATGTTGTAGTGACCTATAAGGGGAGGTGGTCTCGAGGAAGAAACAACAGAGTTTGTGGGTTTTTATGTCGACGATGTGGATGACTGGTGGTGAAGAAGAGTCCTCCAAGTCCAAAGAAGTGAAAAAAGGGGACGAGGGCGTTGGGCCCTATTCTGATCATCCAACAAACGCGAAGGGAAGGGGCAAGGCAGATCGAAGATAGAACAACAACAGGTGGGGTGTTTGGGTTGCTATGAAGTCGACGATAAGCACAAGGAAAATGAAAGGGGTTGTTGCCCTCTTGACTGCCGGAAAACCCCACCTCTGATGGAGGTTTTCTCGATTAAAATTTATGAAGAAGAAGAAGGGAGACAACAACAGCAAGTATCGGTGGCTATTTGGCTTGCTTGTCATCGAGAAAGAAGAAAGAAACATGGCTGGAACATAGGGTAGCAGCCTCCGTTTTCTGCTTGGGTTTTCCCCAGAGAGAGAGAGAGAGAGAGAGAGAGAGAGAGAGAGAGAGAGAGAGAGAGAGACCCTTTAATTAAATAATTATACATTTTTTTTATTTTTTTTTAAAATAAGGCAAAACTTCATAAATGGTCCCTGTGGTAGTGAAATGACAGAAATGTCCTTCACTTAACGACCAAAAGCTACCGGAGTTAGCGAAAATGACCATTTGTTAAAAATTTTGAAACTACAGGGACCATCTGTGAGGTTTTTATAAATTAGGGACTAAACTTCAGATTTTCGAAAATCACAGGGACCATTTTTGAAGTTTTGTCTAAAATAAATACATAAAAATAAATACGTTTTTCTAAACGTATTTTATAATACTATAAAATACGCTAAAATACATTTTGTTTTATTAAAAAAAATTATGTAAAAAAATGTTTTTTTTAATTTATTTATTGTTTATGTTTTATCGATTTATTATTATATAAATGAGTTTTAGAAGATAAAAACCAAGTGAGCCTTTAGCTCAAGTGGTAAAATCGCTGGGCAAAATAATAGAAGGGTGGAGGTCACGAGTTTGATCCCTCCCCTAGCAATTTAATTGTCTTTTTCAAAGAAATTTAAAAAATGATCTCTGTGGTTTATCAAATGTCACGAATTCAGTCCCTTTATACTTGAAAAGACGAAAATACCATTACAGATTCAGTCCCTAACGACGTTTTACTAACGGTGTTAGTAAAAAGGGCCAACTTTACAAGTTTTGCAAACCACACGGACTGACTTTGTGACTTTTGGTAAACCACAGAGACCATTTTTGTAATTTTGTCTAACAGTTTTATCATTCGAATTAGGGAGTTTTAACCATATTGAAATAACTAAGTTTGTGTGGATTTTCCAAATGAGAAGTAAAAGTCAATGACATATTTGAAGTACATGGTTAGATTACAAAAATAAGAATGTATTGATTAATTTCATTTGTATGTTTTTTTCTTATAATTATATGGTTGTAACTTCTCAAGTTGTAGCGTCCCAATTTTTTAACAAAATTTATTTTACAAAAAAAAACTGAAAACCATCTTTTTAAAAAGAAACATAATTATCTATTACATTAAAACATCTTGCCCTTCTCACCGGAACAATCTGAAAAATATTTATACATATCACAAGTAAGCACAAAGTTTAATGAGTTCTTCAATACATCATATATTCTATCACACATATATTGCATATAAGCTATAATGTATGTTAAACTATTTACATTTACTCAATTTCTTTTTTGTACACCATATATCATCAAATTTGTTGAAATTGTTCACATATTACTCTTTAACCTACAACACTCGACCGTAAAGGTAATATGTGAACAGTTTCAAAAAATGGAATGATATATAGTGTAAAAAAAAGAGACTAATTATGAACAAAATCAAAAGTTCTTTACCTCATGAGTCATTTTTGGGTTTTATGTGGAAAAGTCTCATTATTTTGGGAAATTTTTTGATAAAATCATAAAAGTTTTTTTTTTAACAAGAAAGTCTCATTATTTTGAGAAAATCACATAATCTTGTTCAAATATAAAAAAAAAACTTTTTCGTTAATTTGGATAAAATGTTAAATAATCAAAAAAATTACTGTTCAAAAAGAAAACATTTCAACTTTATTAAAAAATTTCCCAAAATAATAGAACTTTTCTGCATCAATCCCGTCATTTTTCCATTATTTTATAACCACTAATCGTAACCTTATAACTTTTTTCTTAACGTCATTTATTTTATCTATTTTTTATTATAATACTCTGTTTTTTTAATGTAGAAAATAAACCTTTTTCCACCAAACTTGAAAATAAACATGGCAAAAATAACTTGTCTTTAGACATTCAAATTTCAACATGACATATGACCAAAAAACAAACAAACCAAAAACCAAAAATAAAAATAAATAAACAAATAAATAAAATAAAGTATTGTGTCACAAGTTTATTAATATAGCCTATAAATGAATCTATACCACCCATTGAAACTTTTTTCCATTATAAGACAACATATGAATGTGACACAATTACTAAACTTTGAGTGATCCTTAATCAAAATATATATTTTGTCTCCTAACAACTATTTCTTCTACCAACAAAATCCACTATCTATAATGTATCCATCAAAATCAAATAAGCTTCATATAAGATATATCTAATCTATCAATGGTCCATGTTTTTATGCAGGAATGTTGTCGACCCAAGAGACGTGTACTTTTCCTTTTGCAAGTATCTCATGTTTATCGTGGACATGGCGGAATAAAGCTGCCCACTAAACCTGCAAAGCACTCTACTTCCAACAATGCGACTACATACAACACGCCATATCTTCCCCTTTTGGTCTTTCTCTTCCTTCCACAGTTTTCGATCTCTCTAAACAATGGTGTTGTTATTCACACTGCTTTTTCTAGTTTTTGCTCACTATCCCTACTCCACCTCCTCCTACCCATCTTCTACAGAGTGGAGATCTGCAAGGGCAACGTACTATGCACCTGCTGATCCGCGGGACGCTATCGGCGGCGCGTGTGGTTACGGCGACGTGGAGAAAGCAGGGTATGGGAAGGCGACGGCGGGGCTCAGTACTGTGCTGTTCCAGAAAGGACAGATCTGTGGCGCTTGTTTCGAAGTCAGGTGTGTAGAGGATCTCCAATGGTGTATTCCGGGGACTTCTATTATCGTGACAGCGACTAATTTCTGTGCTCCGAATTACGGGTTTCCGGCAGACGGCGGTGGCAAGTGTAACCCTCCGAATCCCCATTTTGTTTTACCGATTGAGATTTTTGAGAAGATTGCGATTTGGAAAGCTTCTAACATGCCAATTCAGTATCGCAGGTAGTGTTCAATTGTTCATCTCTCTGATACTTCCTTCCTTTCCCCTCAAAGTTTGAATAACGAAAAGGTGAAATTAGGGTTTGATGCATATCATTGTTGCAGGATCAAGTGCAGAAAGGAAGGAGGAATTAGGTTTACGATTGATGGAGCTGGAATCTTCTTATCGGTGTTGATCAGCAATGTTGCCGGTGCCGGAGACTTAGCTGCGGTGAAGATTAAGGGTTCACGAACTGGGTGGCTTCCGATGAACAGAAATTGGGGACAAAATTGGCATATAAATGCAGACATGAAAAATCAACCACTTTCTTTCGAGGTCACTAGTAGTGATGGGTTAACTGTTACTTCTTACAATGTTGCTCCAAAAGAATGGAATTTTGGTCAGAGTTTTGAGGGCAAACAATTCTAATCTTGAATCTTGAATCTTCAATCTTGATAGTTTTTTAATGGGACATTCCCTTTTATAGAGCCTGGTTTTTAGTTGTATAAAATCATCTTTAGATTTAAGAAATATTATTATTGACAAGATCAGTTCTAAAAATATAGAATTGAAGGGAGATCTAAATAGTACTTGTGTTTGGTTTTGTTTTGTTTTGTTATGTTTACTGTTTTTTGTATCAATTTCAGGTAGGAAGTAGAAAAAGAACTTGGTTTACTTTTTAAAGAGTAGCATGTTTGATAAGTTATGTTAATCGATTCAAATGTTTGTTTATTATATTTTGTCTTATTAAGGCATTAAATTGAAAATCAACCAATTATAAAATTGTATTTTCATTTTTTTCTCTTATCATAACAAAAAACAAGAAAACTGTTTAATTAGCTTATTTGGACATATTTTTTTGAAGTATGATATGTCGTAGTAGGAAGAAATTAAAGTAGAATGTCATAATAAACAAATTAATGAAAATACCTTGTTATTTCTTACAATTAACTTTACATATCATGAAGTACTTTGAAAACATGTGACTAGAAATGAGAGTTTTTGGATATTAACAAAATTGCTCAAAATGACTTTTAGCAATATGACAAAACAACTAAATCTTGTGGATCAAAAGCAACTTAAATCAATGATTTGTAGACCATGTACAAAAAAAAAAACAACCAACACTTGAGCATCAAGAATCACCTTGCTACCAACATTGGAATTCCTGATTCCGAAACCGGAAACAAGATTCCATCTTCCATGATAATAATAACATAACAATTTCTATGAGTTAAATAACAGAAATCCAATAATAAACTAAAAGGAATTTGTTATACAAATGAAGAACGAAACTCCATACTTGCAAATCTGAGATGTTTTCTACTGAATAATACAAATGGTATGAACCTATACCATCGATTGTTACCAAAACGAAAAAAGAATAAAACTCTATACCCTTCTAAAAATTCCATGACATTGATTCGTGTTACAAAAAAAAAAAAAAAATGAAACCCTATTTAGTTTCAAAAAACATGAATCATGAATCGTGAATCTCATAGCTTTTGATGAGACTCAATAAGCAATGCATTGAGCATAACATGAACACAAGCTTCATAAACAACTCCATTATAATGCATCCCATCTAACGAACAATCAACCCCACATTTTTTGCTTAAATTCTCAACATCTAGCATCAAAAACACACCACCATCTTTACGCAAGATCTTGCTTTTATAAAGTTCTTGATCATATAAATTGCACATCTCACTAGTCATCTTTACCCTTTTCTCTTCTGTATTCAGCATTCTGTTAATCAAAGTTGGCATGCCTAGCCAAAACAAATGGAATCCCCGAGTAGAATCAGATCCCACTGGAAGGAACGGAATCAATGATTCCCTTAGATAACGTAATGAAACTCCGTAATCGGAATAATTTGTGAAGTGTAACATATGCCATAATCCTGAACCCATCACTAACACATCTGGGTAAGTATTGTTTCTTTTGAAATCTGTAATGACATGAGTGAGATTAGTAGCGTAAGGTGCCCAAATGAAGTCCAATTTCATCCCAATTTCTTCAACCACGATATGATAATTACTATGTCTTTTAAACAAATCCGCCTGAATCGATTCCATTTCATCTAAACTCAAAACCAAATCTAATAACGAAACCACAAACAATCGCGCCTGTGAATCGCCTGCGACAACGATCCATGAACCGTTTAGCAGGTCCGAGACATCGATCCGACTCAATTTCTGGAAATCGCAATCGAAAGATCGAGAGTTGTTTTCGAAATCCCATGAAAACCCATCAAAATTGGAGTGGAAATTAACCTCGTTTATTAAAGAAATGCAAGGAGTGGGATCTTGTTGTAACAGAACAGTCGGAGAAGAGGGGAAAACAGAAGGGAAATAAGGAATGAGGTGAATACATACAGCGAGACTGATGAAAAGAGCACCGCTGAAGAAGAGAACTTTATTACGACTAAGATGCCATCCCGCCATAGCCATTGGCACAAATAAAACTACACAGGCCGCCATTATTCCCAATTGGACGGCCCCAAAAAACATTTTCTCTACCTGGGTTCTGATAAAGCTTCAGTACGATTTTGATTTCGATCTTTTTTCTTGAATTCAAAAGGGCATAAATGATTTGATCTTGGGTGTTCTTGGCGCATCTGGGGAGTTTTGTTGTGGTTGGATTATGATGGGGTTTTTTGTGGGTTAGGGTTATAGTTGGTGGAGTGAGGAGATTGGATTGTGAATGAAGGGAAAGATGTGATTGCTATGGTGTAACAGAAGATGAAGCTACTGAAAGAAAGATGGGTGAGTGCGAGTTGTTTCTGAGACGGCGAGTTTATTCTTGGCGATGGTATTTTAGCCGTCTCTCTCGGTGTGAATTACATAAGCGATCACCGACTATGATTCAACCTCCACTTTTCTAAAATTACCATTTCTGTACTAAAAACAATCACGTATTTGTTCTAAAATTAATCTCTAATCTCATCATTTAATTACAAAGATTCGGATCTAAATGCATCTCCATTTACTAAGTAGGTCGTTTGAATGTTCGTTTGATGGATTTAGTAAATGAATACAATTTGATTTTGAAATTAAAAATTCAATCCGAATACTTCAAATTAAATTCAAATTTAATCCAATAAAGATGACAAATTAAATTCAAATTTGATCGAATTAGGGAGGACAAAAAACCTAATACCAAAAACCCGAGTTAACCGTGATGGGTATGGAGATGTGCAATATCCGAATTTAAAAATAGGGGATGGGTATACCCCTCAGAACCCTCGAACCTGAATTCGACCTAACTGCAAATTTGGTCCATATGGTTTGCAAAAAGTTGTAGATAACGTCCAAAAAGTTTTCAACTTACATCATTGGTCCAAATTTGAACGTTTATTTGAGTTTTTGGTCCTTGAAAATGATGAAAGGACTTTTTACCCTTTTAATTTTTTTTATAGTTGGTTTGGTCCCCATGCAAGATTTCTGAGAATAACCCTAATCCCACTATTGATTTCTGAGTATAAACCCCAAATTCTTGATTTTCTTTCTTTCCTTTCGATAAACCCAAAATCAAAATCGCCAATCAAATCAAATGGATGCCGCCGTAGAAGGGGTCAAATCAACAATGAATCGTCGGAAGGAAGGAGGGAGGGAGTGGTTGATGATGCGCCAAGCATATTCTGGTCTTTTGTGATTGACGATGTAAGAGAATATTGGGGGAGGGTGACACACACGCAAGAGAAATAGGCGACATTTTAATTTTATAATATAATATTGAAGAACGTAAAAAATCGAAATAGAGGGTCTGATTGTCTTTTTATATTTTAGATTGACTGTATCTACAAAACGTTTCATTTTTTGGACTAGTGATGCAAGTTGATAACTTTTTGGACCTCATCTATAATTTATTTGCGAACATGTGCCAATTTTGTTGTTTACTCTTATATATATATATATGTATATATATATATATATATATATATATATATATATATATATATATATATATATATATATATAGTCCGGATCCGATGATGCCTTTTGAAAAGGCCTCTTCAGCGAATTTTGTATTGGAGAAATCATATCTACATGATCAAGAGGTGAATACACTCCTTTTCAAGAGGCCTGATCACCCCCTTTGATTACACACTCTAGAGATCCTCATCACTTTTGTCGCATCACTCCTGAAGTTAAATACTTTTCATTACCTTGCTTAATTTTTATCTCTTTGAGCTTTAGAAAGCATAAATCGGATCTTCGTACCATGCTTCAAATCCCCAAGCAACAATCAAACAAGAACATGCCAAATGATCTTCTTCACAGTCCTCAACCCAATTATAAGCCTCTCGTCGCTGAAGGGTACACATAGAAGTATGTAATTGATCATGTAGATATGATTTCTCCAATACAAAAAATAAATACCATCTAACTTCTTGTCTCCGTAGCAACAAACCAATGCTCGATGCTGCAAAATAAATGACGTAAATAATGCTTCCGTTAGTCGAATATTGGAATAATAGGTGTACACAGATCCCCCACATGGCATAGGTTAAGTTGGAAAAGTATGCAAGTAAAAAAGAACCTTATATGGGTTGAAACAATCCTCCTGATTCTAGTATGAAGAAGAATCTCAAATTTCATAAAGAAGATATGGTACAAAAAGGTGATGCAAATCATACTCTCTTCGTCAAATAATAGGTAAAAATATAACTACTCTAATCGGGTAGGTTGATGAAATAGTTCTCACAAGAAACGAACAAAAGAAGATCACTAATCTCCAAGAATGCATTGTAACCAAATTTTCACTTAAGAACTTAGACACGTGAAATATTTCTTAGGTATCAAAGTTGCTAGATCAATACAAAGGTATCTCTATGTGTCAAAAGAAAGTATGTGCTATATTTACTAACATATGATGGCATGCTCAATTTTGAATCTGTTGAGATTCTGGTTAAGGTGAAACACACGCTAACCATTCAACCGAACAAAGTTCTAACCCATAAAGAGAGGTATCAAAGGTTAGTTGGAAGGATAATATATTTATAACAAATACATCTTGACATGACATATGTCTTAAGTGTTGTAAGTCAATTTATGTATGCACCAAGTGAAGATCAAATGGAGTGAGATTATCGTATACCATGGTACCTAAACTCCTCACTAAAAAAAGATTGTTCTTTTCTATTAGTGGAAACTAAGAGGTCAAAATATATGCATATTGTTGATTTGGATAGAAATAAAAACGATAGAAAGGTTATATCATGATATATCACATTCATGGAAGATAATATGGCTATTTAGTGAAGTAAGAAACTAAACGTTACTGCAAGATAAGTGTATTTGGTGAATTTCACGGAACAGAACAAGGTGTTTGTGAATTGTTATGTATAAAACAAATTTTACATTATCCAGGTATTGGTCATGTCAACCAAATCCAATGATGTTATAATATGACAACCAAACAACCATGCAAATTGTTAATAATCTATTTCAACATGATATAGCAAAACATATAGATGTTTATCGTCACTTAATCAAATATCATATTGATAAAATAGACATTACTTTTCTGTTTTTGGATTCAAAAGATCAACTTGCAAATGTTTTAACAAAGGCAATATGTAACACCCGTCCTTTTAAAAACATATTTAATGATAAATTTTGGAGTTTTAATAAAATTATACATTATTATCCCAAAACGGGTTTATCAAAGAACCATAAAGTAATTCCCAAAATAACCAAAAGGTGTACAAAATATCACAACCATAATTAAAATAACAAGATTATACAGTAAAAATATATAGCCATCCTTGTTCTTCTTGCTACTATCATCACTTGTACTAAGGCTGTGTACATGTTATACTGGAATAGATGGAAATAACATATATATATATATATATATATATATATATATATATATATATATGTCAGACAATCAAGTATGGAGAGTTATAAAACAATTCAATTTTTCTTTTACATTTATTCATATTTAAATGTTCATTCTCTAATACGCCCAAATTAGGCTAGTCACAATAAGTGACTCAAAACGTTGGCCGATACAAGGAAGTGATCCTTTCTACTATGCCTCCGTAAATATACCATTAATTGGGATAATCACAATAAGTGACTCAGAACGTTTGCTTTACCAGAGAACAAATCATCTGGGAAAGGTCTCGTAATTGGTCCCCATGCTGACCCCATGGGCAATCTAACAACTATTTCATTCTATTTACAATTTTAACTCAATGTTTTATATTAATCATTTTTGCATATCGGGATATCGTAACATTCCATAACATTGAGTAAATTCCACAATACATATAGATATTAAGCATAATACCTATTTCATTAAGTACTTAATTCACTAAAATCTAGCCATGTATTCATACTCTAACACAAATTTATAACTCACTTTTCAAGTTAGTGGACACTAACTTCCTACTTGATTCCAGTTTCCTCTTGGGTGCTCCTTATCTTTTCCTTGGCCTAAGCCTATTGAATTTGAACATTAAGCTCTTTTTAGAACATATCTTAATCTATTAAGAGCTTAATAATACTTCAAATTCAACATAATCATTCTTTATCCAATATATCAATTTGACAAATTTTTATCAAGGAATCAATTATACTCCATGAATTAAGCTTCCTATAGCTTAATTCACCAAGTTCTTAATCCTATTTCATAATACCATCACCTTCATCAGTTAGGGTTTGAAACCCTAGTTTCTCAACTCAACAACTTCATCAATGGATTCTATAAACTAAGCTTGTTGATAATGCCTATTTTAGACATATATTTCTGGCGTTATCTTATTATTTTATGTTATTTTTTTATATTACATGGAACAAAAGGTGCTTATAAAATTTTGAATTAGTATTTTGTAGGTAAAAAGTACATGTTAATGAAATAGAAGCGAAAATGGGTTAAAATGGAGCTAAATTGATAAGCTTGGAGCAAAATAGGGAAATGCATGCTAAATTATAATTGTACTGATGTACCCCTCATAAGTATTTTGGCCATATGTAATGACTCGTTACTCCAATTAATGAGACTCAAGATGTTCTGGAAAATAGACAAAATTTCAGACAACTTTCGTGTGAGGTCTTTTTTGCTAAATTTAGAATATCGGCCATATGAAGATGGGCAATAAAAGCTGGACGGAAATTCCCTCCAAGTTACTTATTCCCCAAGCACCACTTACATTATATTTTACTTATAAAACTAGTAAAACCTAGATCTCAGGGTGAATGTATACTTAAGGTAATTTTCTTTGTTTCCACTACCATGATATAGTATATTGTTGCTATAAAAACCAACACCATCAACATTCTATTTTCTCATGTATGTATTTGTCTATTAGAACTTGGCTCAATCATATTCTTGTATAGGATGTATACGACTCGACCATTTTGCTTTACATATTGTACTATACATTGCAATTTGAATGAGAAGAGATAACATGGGAATTGTATGAGATTTCATGGTATCTGTGCAACCTAATCTAAATTATTTTCTCCTTTAATTATTTCACATTACTTATCTCTATCTCTTCTCATTATGACGTTATCCTACTGTCAGACCACCACAACACCACCATATTCCTCATTCATTCTCTTAATCTCCTTATTATTGTATTACCATGTTCATAAAAAATCTTCAGAAAAACCCTATAGAATTAACAACATATGATCATACATCTCGCAAAATTTGGATCTCGATAGGTTAAACTATGATTCTTGGTATGAGCTTTTTGAAACGTAATGCATGTGATTTGGTGTGTCAAATCATCTTCAAGAACCGGATGAGAAATCCCCATCCATAATGAACAAATTAGAATGGAATTGTATTGATTCTTTAGTGCAGACGTGTACATACAAAATGATTTCTCAATCACTTCTTCAAATGATTTTGAAGAAGAACTCCACTGCTCATAACCTCATCATGTTTTCCTTCTTCAACACTCTCTATATGGCCTTAACCAGCCCCTGGAGCATGGTTTCACACATTTTCTCATTTTATATTACACTCGAATCTTATCATAGAAAATGTGGCTCTTCTTTATTTATTTAACATTACAGACACCACACTACATACCTTTTATTGTATGTTGATGATATTATTTTGACGCCTTCATCTCCAGATTTTCTTCATTCGATATGAATTACCTTAGGAAAATATTTCTCCATATCCAATCTTGAAGATCTTAAATTCGTTCTAGGAACTGTCGCCAATCATGATCGTTAGGATATGTTTCTTTCTCATAAAAGTACACTTTGGAGATTTTAGAATTGGCTAATATGCTTAACAATAAACCAACCCGTACACCCACTAACACATTGGCCAAACTGGATGAGTCCGATCCTCTAGTTTCTGACGCGACTATGTATCGTAGATTCGCCCACACTCTCTAATATATGACATTTACTGGCCCAAATATCACGTATGTCGTTCAACAGATATGTATTTGTATGCATAACCCTCAAGAGCCTCTTTTTTACCACTTTAAAGAAGATTCTTATATATAATATAATATATATATATATATATATATATATATATATATATATATTATATATATATATATATATATGGGGCACTATTTCTCATGGCCTCCAACTTTATGCTTCGTCATCTCATAGCCTTATAGCTTATTCTGATGCTGACCGGATCGATTGTCCTACCACGAGACAACTCACTTCATGTGTCTTTTAGGGACATAACTTACTGTCTTGGTCGTCTAAGTGACAAGGCACCATCTGCTGAAGCCGAATATCGAGGTATAACGAACGACATGGTTGTAATGTGTTGGTCGTGAAACTTGTTATGTGAATTGAATTGACAATGTCTGCACCATATATATATATATATATATATATATATATATATATATATATATATATATATATATCTCCAACTATCCGGTTTAACATCAACGAACCAAACACATCGAGTTTTGTTCGTGAAAAAGTTGACATGGGTCAGATTCCGTTCTTACATGTCTTGTCCCCGTCCCAATACGTTGACATATTCACCAAAAGCCTGCCGTCTACTCTATTTCTTTACTTTAGGGCCAATTTAAATGTTATTGACGTATCAATCGTTTAAAGTGCAGGGATGGCAGGTGTTAGCGATTAAACGGTGGGAAGGTGGGTGCGTATAAACAGAAGACTGATTTGGATGGATGGATGTGCCGAATTGGCAAACAATCGTTATCTCAGCGGAATGATGAGGAGCATGTACAAAGTTTAAAGTATGGTTGCTCTAGTAAACCGATTTACAATCCATACTTGCGTAAGGTAGATCATATTGCATATTCATTTTACATAACAAATTTTCCACCTCACATGGATTCTAGGGTATTGTAGAAGTGGTGTATGTTGCATGGTAAAGTGGTCGACAAGTATATTACGAGGAAGCAATCTAAGGGAAGAAGGAGATTTGGTTTTATTCGGTTCATAGGTATCAATAATGAGATTTTACTTTGGAAAGAAGCTTTCAGAGGAATGAATTGATAAATTACATGTTTATGTGGCCGTTTCCTAGTATAATCGAGACAACGACAAGACCAAAGAAGATGAGAAAATAGAGAATAACATTTGGACGAGAAAAAGTGTAGCGATATCTTATGCCATGTTATTATAGGGGAAGTCCATATTAGGGTTCAAACACATTCAAGGGAGTGGCTTCCTTACATAGATAGTGGTGGAAGGAGTAGGGTACATGGTCCGGGTTAGAGAGGTGAAAATTTGGTCAGTGAAGATTGAAAACAAGGTGGAGGATAAATATTTAAATATGTATAATACTGGAAGTGAAGATGATGAGGCGAGTGAAGACGATAGCGGGATGGAAATTGTGACAGAATTGAAGAAACATTATGAGCAAAATGAAAATAGGGAAAGGAGAATAACACTAATTAATAAACAAAAAGAACCTCAAGTATATGATAAAGTTGATAGACGATTCACTAATATGGAGAGTACTCCTGAACCAGAGGTGAAAATGAAAGGTGACATCAAGAGATGTTGATTTTGATGACCCGGTTAAGGAGGTCCTGAGGAAAAGAGGTTCATATGGTGGCTAATATTTATGAAGAGGGTAGCTGTCGGGTAACCCACCTGGATTCGAACCGGAGGTGAAAGTGAAAAACAGTTGTTGCCCATCTGGATTCGAACACATGAAGCATGCTGGTCGGGGAGATGTTGCTAAGTATAAATGTAATGAGAAAGAGGTTGATTATGAGGTTTCTTATTATTCAAAACCGAGATGTACTACCATTTTTCTAAGTATAAGAGGAATGCTAAGTTGGGATGTATAAATTTTGATAAGGTTACTAAAATAATAGACGCAACATGAGAAAGGGGATACGAGTTGAGATGGTGTAAATGAGATTTAAGGTGGTTAATGGGAGATGTGAATGTGGATCAATGAATATTCTTTTGGTTAATACTCGAGGGACTAGGCCTGGAAAGAAAAGAAGATAGATTTGGGGGTTGTGTTTCAAGCACGATGTTACATTTTTTTGGATTGCAAGTGAAAAATATGACTAGGTTGGAATTATTTAAACTTACAGCTACATGGGGAAATTATAGATTTGATTTTTCATGAAATTCAGCTCGGGGGTTTATCTGGTGAGATTTTCTCCGTGTGGGATACAAATTGTTTTGCTAAGTCGTATGTTATGTGGTGAAAATTATGTAATTTTACAAGGTCGGTGGTTCAATGTAGCATCTGATTGTTTCTTGATTAATATTTATGCACCTCAAGAGCATGCTATGAAGAGAAGAATTTGGGATAATATCAAAGCTTTTATTAAAAACAATGACAATCTTTTTGTAGTTTTTAGCAATTTCAATGAAGTTAGGAATGAGACAGAAAGGTTCGTCTTTGTGTTTTCTCCTCAAGGGGCAGCTGTATTTAACAATTTAATTGTTGAGTCAGGTTTGGTGGAGCTTAATTTGGGAGGACGTAAGTTTAAGTGTATGAATAAGGTTGGTTCTAAGATGAGCAAGTTGGACCTTTTTGTGTGTGTGTGTGTGTGTGTTGGAGTGGTTGTTAGTTGAATGGTCAGACTCTTCGTCTAATGCATTTGATAGTTAGTTTTAAGATGATTGTTTTATTTTTCTACAAAATAAAAAATTTGATTATGGTCCAAATTGCGTTCTTGTATTACACCCCTAGTTTTTTTAGATAATGGATATTTCGTGAATCTGACTGTAACAAGTTTCTTAGGGAAGAAGATAGGGCTTGTGTGTTATTTGAGAACAAGATTAAATTTATAAAAAGGAAAATTCAAGATTCGCATAAGGAGAACATGTTGCTTTCGATAAATAGGAAGTGTCTTTTTAGAAACTAATATTAGTAGCATTGAAAAGAAGAGGTTAGACGGTCTTGTATCTTTTAGTGAGATTGATCAACGAGTGGAATGGCTTCGTGGATTGTCCGAATTGGAACATCGAGATACATTGGATCGTTGTTAAAAGGCCAAGGTCCGATGGGGGAAGGTGACAAAAACTCAACATTATTTAACGAATATCTTAAATAGAGACATCATATTCAAGCGATTCAACGTGTGATGTAAAATGGGACTTGGTGTATCGAACCTATAGATGTTAAAAGAGTGATTTTGGATTTTTTTTATAAGGAAAAATTTGTTTCGTCTGTGCATGCTTTGCCTTCACTTATTTATTAGCCGATCATATCTTAGGAAGATATTTATATATCTTGTAATTATCTTTTATATAATTTCCTATTATATACCCCCTATATGTGGGTATATCCGATTGTATCTTATTCCCTATTTATATATAGGGCTTTATTCATTAACGCAAGACAAGGCAATTCATTCAAGATCTGTAGTCGTTGTTATGGTATCAGAGCCTACCTAAACCCTAAGAGCCGATTTTTTTAAGAACAAAGCCACAGTTTTGCTTCAATCTTCTTCCATGACAAAAGATGTTTATGGTTCAGGTGAGGTGAAGGCCACGACCTTGCACCCTACCTACACTATCACAAACATCCAGACAAAGATCCGAACATTGGATGGCTCAAAAGTCACGTATTCGTCCTGGACAAAGTTGTTTCGTCTTCATGCCAAGGCTTACAAGGTTCTCGATCACATTGATGACACTCCTGCACCGGTTGACACCGATCCCGGGTACCTCCAATAGGCTGAAATCGACACACTTGTCCTTCAATGGATATACAACACCTTGTCTGATGAATTGATGGTCCACATCTTAGAGACTGATACCACTGCCCAAGCCGCTTGGAATAAACTCAAATCAACTTTTCTCAACAACAAAGGGTCACGTGCAGCAGCCCTTGAACAGGAATTCACAAGTCTTACCTTGGGAGCATGTTCATCTATGGAATTTTATTGCCAAAAACTTAAAGATCTTGCTGATCAGCTTGGAGATGTTGAGAACCCAGTCACTGAGTCTAGACTGGTCTTACAAATGGTTCGTGGGTTACCATCGGAGTTTGATGTTGTCGGGGCCTACATCAATCAAAGCTCTCCGTCCTTTGAAACAGCTCGCAGCATGTTACAACTTGAACAACACAGACAAAAAGCTAGACAAAATCAAACCCACACGGTTCTCGCTGCTTCTACTTCTGTTGACAGGTCACCACAAAATGAAGCAGTTGGTCAACGCAATCAAGGTCAACCCTACAACAACTACTCGGGCAGAGGTACAGGCACTCGCGGGCGAGGCTTTAATGGTCGAGGACGTGGCAAAATCTTCAGGGGACGTGCCGGTCGTGGCCACCAAAACTGGAACCAAGGAAATCAATGGCAGCAGCAAGGATGGAATGGATCGCAATCATGGTATCCACCTCCATCACCATACCTTTCTCATGGAACGAATCAATCCACAAATCACTGGGCTAATCACACCTACGGGCCCGGTCAATATTCTGGACCCACAACACAACAGGAGCCAATTGGACCTCCGATACAGCCATCAGGTCCGACGCCTACTCCCACTCCTCAATTTGGTGGTTATTCTGACTGCATTCCATCAGATTTAGCACATACAATGCAGCCAGTTCATCTTAATTCCAATGATCCGGCGTGGTATATGGACTTCGGTGCCTCGACACCTCTTACATCTGATCAGGGTAAGATCTCAAGTTCCATAACTACTTCGCCTGTAACATCGATTTTTGTTGGAAATGGCTCTAGTCTGCCAAATCATGGGTCTGGTCATGCTTCTTACACTACCCCCTCTCATTCATATACTCTAAAAAATATCTTGTTTACTCCATCCGTTATTAAAAATCTTTTATCTGGTCGTAAGTTTACTATCGATAATCAAGCTTCTGTTGAATTTGACCCATCTGGTTTTTCTATAAAGGACCTCAAGACTGGAGCTCTTCTTTCTCGTCATGATAGCACGGGAGATTTTTACCCCTTCACCGCACCTTCCAGTTCTACTGCTCTGCTTGCCACTTCTCACGATCGTTGGCATGCTCGTTTGGGTCACCCGGGCGCTCCTGTTTTAGATTTACTTCGTTCAAAATTTTCAATTTCTTGTAATAAACCTACAACTTCTTCTTTGTGCAATGCTTGCCAATTATCTAAACATACTCGCTTACCTTTTTATGATTCGCAATCTGTTACTTATGCACCATTTGACATTATACATTGTGATCTTTGGACATCCCCAGTCTTAAGCAAATCTGGTTACAAATACTATATGGTCCTTATTGATAATTTCACTCATTATGTATGGGTATACCCCCTCAAATATAAATCTGACACATTTCTCACTTTTACAAAATTTCACAAGCTTATCCATACAGAATTTAACCGAACCATTAAGTCATTCCAATGCGATCTCGGGGGAGAATTCGATAACAATGACTTTAAATCCTTTGCCCACACTCACTGTCTCGTCTTCCGTTTCTCTTTCCCTTAAACTTCCCAACAAAACGGACGAGCCGGACGGATGATTCGTCGCATTAATGACATTATCCGTACCCTTCTCACTCATGCCTCTCTTCCCCACTCATTTTGGGTCGAAGCTCTTCACACCGCCACCTACCTTCATAATATCCTTCCTACTAAACGCCTAAATTTTTCCACACCTGCCTTCTCTCTCTATGGTCGTCAACCATCATATGATCATCTCCGCACCTTTGGGTGCACTTGTTATCCTAATATCTCATCCACTCAATCTCATAAACTCCAACCAAGATCCGTCAAATGTGTGTTTTCCTTAGTTATCCGGAAAACTTTTGGGGATATCAATGCTTTGATCCATCAACTGGCAAAGTCTATCTGTCTCGACATGGTACATTTGATGAAACCTCTTTTCCCTTTGCCAATACCCCCTCCCTCTCCACATCTTTTGACTTTCTTGATGATCCACATCCCCCCTTCATGCTTTTCCCTACTCCACATCCACCAACCCTACTCCTTCTTCACCACTACCCCTACCCAATCTTCAACACCACCTCACTCCACCTCCTCATCTCCTCACCCTCCTATCTTGACTTATTCTCGCCGGTCAAAAACACCATCCACCACCACCGACCCTTTATCAACACCCATACCTCCCTCCCACACTCCACCTTCACCTACAACAACCCATCCTCAATCCACTCCACCTCAAACTCCCCATCAACCCTCCCTTCCTACTAATCCCATGACCACTCGTGCACTATAACGCCCGCAGATTCGGGCTAGTCAATTTAGAGACGATGAACGTCAAAAATGACTTTTTGATAGAGGATTATTTAGAATAAATAATCTTAACTAAGTTGTAGTATATGAAATAAGGATTCCGGAGATATAAAGAATACTGAAATCCGAGTTATAACGAAGAAGTTATGACCTGTCGAAGTTTCGCGACAGAACCGACACGACACTACGTGACGTAAATAGTGAATTTACGATAGAATGATTTTTAGCCTTAGTAATCTAAACAAAAGTCATAGTGTTCATTAAACCGAGAGTGTGCATAAAAAGAACGCCCAAATCTGACTTTGTATGAGGAAGTTATTATTTTTCTAAGTTTCAGCTTAGCAATAGACAGCTAAAAACTCGAATTTTAGATCGAGTGATTTTTAGCCGACACAACCTAAACGAGAATCGAAGGTCTCATCAATAGTGGTACAACGGTAAAAAGACTGACGAAAACGGACGTCAGATGAAGAAGTTATGAATTTTTAACGGATTTTCCTATCCCGGTCTGTTAAAAATAATAATATTAAAATTAAATTCAAAATTAGCCAACAGAGTCTAAACAAAAGTTGTAGAGCATAATTTTACCTACGCGTGCATATAAAGAACGTTAAAAACGGAGCCCGTATGCGAAAGTTATGGATTTTAGAAGTTCGGGACACAAAAATCAAGAAAACACGAAATCCGAGAAATTTCGCATGGTCCGGAATTCGCCACGTACAAGCCTCACATGCTTGCCCCGTGTCGGATTGTGATACGACCGAAGGGAGGCCCAACCGAAGCATGCCGCATGTCCGATGCCAGCTGTCTGACCCGTGTCGCACCCCCTCGCTCAGAAGGCTCGGTCCAATCAGAAGCCGCCACCTGCCTCCCTCGCATGCGAGCCATCTGGAGCCCCTCTCATCTGCTGCCGTGTGTTCGCTTCTCAGCCCTCAGATCCGAAGCTCGCACCCTATAAAAGGGAGGTCTGCGAAACTTTCCGAGTAATTTTGGGATTTTGCCCTTTTTCACCCCTAAAGTCATATTTTCACTATTTCGACTTCCCCCGAAGCCCCGAGATCATTTCCAACACCCGAAACACGTTCCGAAGTGCCCGAGAAGCCCGAGAAATTTATCTTTTCGGTTTGAAGCTCAACCCTCGCAGGACCCGGTTTTTCATTAAAGCCCCCAGTTTTATTGGAAACGATCGTTTTAAGAAACGAAGTGCTGCCCGATTATCGTCTTATCAAGTGAATGTATGTATAGTCACTTTCATCTTACACATAGATATGAAGTATTTTATATAAAATACGTGCTAGGTGTATATATGTTGTTTGTTTATTTGAGATAGATGTTGAATGATTGTATTATACATGTTTTAAACTGTATATGTATTTTATATCTACAAATATGTTGGGTAAAACATGGGTAGATGAAAGAATGTTTTATACATGTTTAAAATGATTTAAAATGTATATATATATTTTATCTACAAATATGTTGGGTATAACATGGGTAGGTGAAATAATTTGATGTGTGATAAAATGATGAGCGATGAAAGATGAGCGATAATATATGAGTGGTAAAATATGGTGAGAAGCGATGACCCAAGCGATGGCCCCGTCATTCAGCAGAGTATGGATGACAACCATGGACTATTCTAGACGGTCCATGGAACACTAGCAGGCTCGCAACCTGTAGGTGTGTGAACTATATGTTCATCAGATGTACTCTAAAAACCCTGACATCTGTGGACTTAGTGCCTGTTGTATAAACCCTGGCGACGATGTGACTTCGTGCCTATTTCTTAGGAGGAATCCTTAGGAATGAGTGATAGATGATTCTTAGGGTAAATCCTTAAGAAATAAAGAAGATAATAGGGTTGGGTAATTGGGTTGATTGTTTGATGTTTAAACATAATAAATTTATTTATTGTGGGTTGAAAACCCTATATGCTCACCAGGCTCCCAAGCCTGACCCACTCAGTTTATTTGTATCACAGGTATCGATACGAAGTTGCTTTACACTGAGAGATTAGAAGAGAAGTAGATCACTAGTGTAAATGAATGTAAGTTTTGTTTATGATTATGTTTTTGTATTGACAATGACATCCCAATGGTTTAAATGAATAAAATACATTTCTTCGGAAATGATTTGATAACATATTTATCATGTTTTTCTGGGAACAAATTCCGCAACACTTTTAATCAAATGATTACTCTGATTTTATTTTAAAAAGCATAAACGAAATCGGTCTTTTCAGGCTGTGAAATTGGGGATGTCACAGTTGGTATCAGAGCATTAGTTTAAGCGAACTAGGAATTTGTAGGATTTTCTAGACTTAAACTTAGAATGCTAAGTGATGATTGTGAGATGAGTGTCTACCATATTTTAGACACGAGCACTAGTTTATTTTAGGAAAGATGCCTAAAATGTTTTATGTGCTAAATATTTTATGTTATAGCTATAAAGATGCCTTATATGCTATTATTTGTTTGGATCTATGGTCTATTGCCGACCAGATCTGGAGATTTTATGTGTTCAAATTTCTAAATGTTTGATTACGATATTAGAACTGACATATAACTTTTCGGTGTGACAAGGACATTTATACGTCTATCGTAAATAAAGCTTTCCTATCTTAAATTCTCGCCTAGTACGCCGAACGTCTGCTTGGGTGTACAAAACGTTATGGTTATGACACGTAGAGAATTGAGTAGATGGAGGAAATGAAAGGCTTATGATAGTGAATGACACCTATCGGAAGATAACGTAAGAGTGGTATCTTGCCTTTAGAATGTGTCTGATAAAATAACGGAACATTTAGAGGAGTACGGTACGTCTTAAGTACACCTTCGATTGGCAGGATGATGGAACGATTGGTGTAATTCTCGAAGTTGTCCCATTGTCTGGAATTTGCATCACCAACCGAGTTGAAGTTGAATTGATGATTGAAGATACGCATGGAAGAAGTCCTAGTAGAGTCTAGGAAATTTTTTATGATTAATTGAACGCATTCGTATGTGTTAAATTGTTTTGTGATTTTAAGACTTGGGGACTACGAGACAATACTTGGGACGAGTATGAGTAGGTGTGAATAGTAGTAGAGATCTATACTACTGGAAGCACAAGACTCACACTTGGATCAGGGAAAGTCACAAGGTTACCAAGAAGCTAGTAATTGATTTCGTTTTTGTTCATGTATGTCGTTACCATCGTTTCGGTAATGACTAATGAGATGATTGTTATTCCGACCCTAGTGGTCATATCAAATTGAGTCCGACTACGATGAGTTTGTTATGTGGTTCAGAGAACCAAGTTCGATGTAACATCTGACTTAAGTCAGAAGATTGAAATCAATGTGATCAATAGCATCGCACTCGTTGTTAAAGAAGCTTGTAGCTAGAAATGCTACATGCTAAAATGTGATTATATCACATTAGAATATGAAGGAAGGTATATTCCATTCTGGAATTTGACTCTAAGAGACTTGAGTCTAAGCGTTGCATCATACGATGAGAGATCGTTAGAGCATGACCCATCGGTCTGTTACAATAGATAAAGGAAAGTACTTATCCTA